ATTTGTGTGTATGTGTGTGACAAATGTAAATATCGTTTAAAGTTATAAGGATTTATTTACCTTTGACTGATATGATATAAATTGATTAAATATACAATTACTACTTTGTAGTGATAATGTCACTTTCTCTATTGAATTGTAAGTTGAGTTAATTCGCGGGACAAGACTGTGTGAGTTGTGTTGAGTTGCTGAGAGAGAATGGTGGTTGTTGAGTCAGTGTGCTTGCGCGCGTGGAGTTTGTTGGCATCTCTCAAAAACTCAGTTCCTGACGATATTCAGTCACCCCTCCCACGAGGGCGTCATGTGGCACAAGGCCTTTTTAATGTGGGCTCGGACAAAAATACGCCCATTGAACCCGTATAAACGGATTCAGGGTCGGTTTACATCCCGAAAGAGAATCCGCACTTCGGCGTAGCCTCCTTCAGGTTCCTACCCGCCTGAAGGCAAACAGTTCAACTGAACAGTCGGTTCAGAAGTGAACTACTGACTCGACTGCTTGAATCAAGTCAAGCGATCCTTTTTATTGACTTTTTGGATTTCAAACCGGCTCCATATAGGTGAGCGGGAAAAGGATTTGTCTCAACTCGCTACATTTTTTGTAGAAAAGTGAAGTGATGATTGGCCAAAGTTGATTTTGGGGAAGAGTGCATTTTTCCACAGGGGTGACTGGCAAATATGAAGAATTCTATTATGATGACAGAAGATCTGCCAAGAATTGTGAAACATTATAGGAACCTGGATGCAAATTTACTGTGGAAGAACTAGCGATTAAAATCTTTTCTAGACATATTCGTCTCAGGGAATTGTTTTCTCTTTTAATTAGAGTAGCATTTCTTATATCAAAATTGTGACGAGTCTCGGTACGGTTATCAACTAATGCGTTTAATATGTTGTTTTTTAAAAGACCCCTTTGAGTTCATATAATCTTTTATTTAAATACCTTGAGGTTTCTCCAATATAATCTTTCTGGCACTCATTACAAGTGATAGAGTAAATTCCTCCTTCAAGTTTTAGCTTAGTATTTGTTACGAATTAATTAAGTCTTTTATTGTTTTAGATATAGTGATGACAAATTTTATGTTCAATTTGGTTAAATTCTTTTTGATTGAATTTGTGATAGTGGGTAGAATACTATCAAAGATGATGAAAACAAAAGGAAAAGGAATCTAAATTAAATTGGTTAGATTTTATACTCAAAAAGCATTATTAAAAAAAACAAAAATGTATTTTCAAAATTTAAAACTCCCAGCATTAAATTGGTTAGATTTTAAACCCAAAACGCATTATTAAAAACTGTTTTTTTCAAAATTTAAAACTCTCAGTATTAAATTGGTTAGATTTTATACCCAAAACACATTATTAAAAAAAAGGAATGTTTTTTTCGAAATTTAATACTCCCATGATTAAATTGTTTTGATTTTATGCACAAAACATATTATTTAAAAAAAATATGTTTTTTTCGAAATTTAAAACTCCCAGCATTAAACTGGTTAGATTTTATACTCAAAACACATTACTAAAAAAAAAAAAAAATGTTTTTTTCAAAATCTAAAACTCCCAGCACGTCTCATTCATGTAATTCCTGCACTTGACAGAGTAAATTCCTTCTTCAACTTTTGGCTTGTTGCTTTCTTTTTGTATTAATTAAGTCTTTTATTGTTTTAGGCAAATTTTTGACAAATTTGATCTCGAGTTTAGATAAATTCTTTTTAGTTCTAGTTATGATAGAGTTACTGGGAAGAACAATATTATTTTTTGATTTCGTTAAGTTTGTCATGAGGGGTCCGATTTTCTGTTTTGGAATATTTTAAGAGGGTTTTTTTTTTCGTATCGAATATGAAATAGTGTACTGGGAGACCTTGAAAGTATTTCCAATATATCCCCCACTCACCACTTCGTGTAATATCTGGTTACCTTCAGTGCCCCGAAAAACCAAACTAGTCACATTCCATCATCGTCGATCGTACCCCGGACTACTACAAGTCTCGATGAAGGGTTATCCCGTCAGGCCGAGGTAGCACGATGCCTTTAAAGACTATTGGACGTCGCATCTGACCTTAAGTGGAACTCTTACATACGATCTATTGTTAAGGACGCAGGTAAAATGGCCGGTTTCCTGTATCGATACCTGACACCCTCAAGCTATCTTCTGCCTTTAAATGAGCCAGATCTGGCCAAAAAATGGAGTACTGCTGTCATATTTTGGCGGGAGATGCCCAGACTTTACTGTCTAGCCTTGATAGAGCTAAAAATCGCCTCCGAATCCTTGTGGGTAACGAATTATTCTCCACCTTCCAACCTCTCTCTCACAGGCGGGATGTGCCGAGGCTCACACCGCTCTATCACTACTTCCACGGAAAGTACTCGGACGAACTACAATCCCAGTTTCGGCCAGTTTAAACCTTTACGGCTAGGACCCGCCATTCCGCTTACATAGTAGCAAATCACCCACGTTTCCCCCGTATTCAATCGGTGAGAAGTAATTCCACTCCAACAGCGTCCTTCCGCGAACCACTGCCCTGTGGAACCAACTCCCAAGTTTCCCCGATCACTACAATCTTGACCTGTTTAACCGTTATCTCCTCCTCCTATTCCCCGCAAATTGCATCCTAACGTAACCCTCTACCTCGTGTGGTTCTCGGACCTTGTTCAGGGTGAACCTTACTTCAAAAAACCAAGAATAAAAACAAAACATCTTAACCTGTTCAAGGCTACGGTTAACCGTTATCTTCCCCTCTTATCCAACCAAATTACTTCCTAACGTAATCCTCTACCTCGAGTGGCACCCGGGATTGTACAGGGTGAACCACACTGTTATTTATTTATATATATATATATAATAATCGACTCTCCCGTCGAGATTCGACGTATGAGGGTCAAGCAGATCAGTTTCCAGGAAACCGACAGCCCGACACCGGCACATGAGATTTGATTATAGTGGTGAAGGCCTCATGCAGGACCATCCACACTTGTTGAAGGGACGAATACAGAGACCTGGTGTACCGAATGCTACAAGGTTCCCAAACGACCCTCCGCAGGTTTTGATTTCAGAGTAGTCCTTCTCCTAGACCAGTTGCCATCCAAGCCTATAGAACCCAGTCTGTCCTGCTATTTACCTATAGCTGGAGGGAGAAGAAGGGGATTCACACCTTTCCCAAGGGTATTAGCACGTAAGTGAATGTAATGGATTCGACTGGAATTCCTCAATCCAAGCCGCTATCCATTACTCCACCGTGCCTCATCCATCCATCCATCTATCTATCTATCTATCTATCTATCTATCTATCTATCTATCTATCTATCGAGAGAGAGAGAGAGAGACATGCATATATATATATAGAGAGAGTGACACACACACACACACACACACACACATATATATATATATATATATATATATATATATATATATATATATATATATATATATATATATATATATATATATATATATATATATATATATATATATATCAGTAAATGAGGGATGTAATTTACAAGGGAAAAGATTTAACCCACACAGATACGGTAGATTTTATAAAGGCGACGATGGTACTCAGTAGCTGTGGATAGAATATCAGTGTAGCGATCACCTTTCTAGTAGGGTGTGTAATTCAGTTGCTACCCTAGAAGGACAAAACGTGACCCAGGACCAGTTATTTTATATACGTGCATCAACGCAATTAACTGATACGACATCTTAGTGCTGTTGCTGGGGGGAGAATGTTCTCAGTCATCAGGATTCAATTAATTTTGGGTTTCGGGACACAAATCACTGGAAAGAATTCCCTAAAGTTGAAAGTACTTTTGAAAACTAGATAGATAACAATAAATTCATTCCAGACATTTTGGGAACAGAATGAGAGAGAGAGAGAGAGAGAGAGAGAGAGAGAGAGAGAGGAGGAGGGGGGGTAGAGAATCAGAATTAGATAGATAGATAGATAGATAGATAGATAGATAGATAGATAATGGAAACAGATTGAGATAGATAGATAGATAGATAGATAGATAGATAGATAGATAGATAGATAATGAAACAGATTGAGATAGATAGATAGAAACAGACTTTTAGATAGATAGATAGATAGATAGATAGATAATAGATAGACTGGGAAACAGATTGAGATAGATAGATAGATAGATAGATAGATAGATAGATAATGAAACAGATTGAGATAGATAGATAGGAACAGACTGGGATAGATAGATAGATAGATAGATAGATAGATAGATAGATAGATAGATAGATAGATAGATAGATAGATAGATAGATAATGGAAACAGATTGAGATAGATAGATAGGAACAGACTGGGATAATTAGATAGATAGATAGATAGATAATAGATAGATAGATAAAACAGATTGAGATAGATAGATAGATAGATAGATAGATAGATTAAAAACAGATTGAGATAGATAGAATTTTTGAGACTGGGATAGATATAGATAGATAATGGAAACAGACCCAGATAGATAGATAGATAGATAGATAGATAGATAGATAGATATATATAATCTGAACAGATATAGATAGATAGATTTAGATAGATAGATATAGATAGATAGATAGATAAACGTGAAAAGTGTTTTTTTATGATAGATAGATAGATAGATAAATAGATACCTATTCCAACTGACTGTGCTAGCTTTGATAAACATAGAAACGGACTCGATGGATAGACTCAGAGACAGAGAAGATGGAGAGAGGTAGGAAGAGATCTTCGATAGATAGATAGATAGATAGATAGATAGATAGATTATCTATCTCTGTCTATCTATCTATCTATCTATCTATCTATCTATCTATCTATAAAAAGAATGTATAAACATAAAAATGTCTTAAAACTATCTATCTATCTGTCACTCCAAGGGTGTACTGAAAAGTTCTCGGAGTGACCCAGTTCCGCCTATCTTGCGATTGGCGGATGTTTGCTAAAGTGGTAATCTTAGTTGTTTTCTCGCTTAATGAAGAAACAGTTATCTTCATATCGCAGCTTTAAAACAATCTTTCAAGAAGTACCTCCGTTGTATTATCCATTTCCAATTTGACATTTGATATTTTTTATTAGAAATATAATTAAACTGCTTGCTGTTTTTCAAATGAATCAGTCTTCTTACCCGAAAGCAGTAACCATCTTAGCAGTTAGATCACAGCTTGTTTTTTTTTTTGTTGTTGTTTGTTTAAAAAAAAAGAGCCATGCGTTAAGCGATGTTAGCAATGTTGGTATCTTTTGTTTGTTTTTAAATTATTCACTCCAAGATATGCTAGCTAGATACACAATTTTCTTTCGATCTGTCTTTCTTCTAGACTGGTTGCCCACCAAGGCTAGATAGCCCAGACAGCCCTGCTATTAAGCCTTAAACTGTGCAAGGGAGAACAGACGGATTCATACATTTCCAAGGGTGGTTTTACAAAATCGAACGCAACAGGCTCCGTTGAAATTTGATCAAATCCTACCACTGGCTCCTTGACTACAACGTTACGTCCAGAATACGGAAAACTGCTTTTAAAAATATGCTAAGACCTTTGCACACATCTATTAGCTTGTTACAAATATGTGGCGAATGCGTGTCAGTACAGACGCAAAAGAGTTCATCGTGTCGCGTGCGAACATGTCTGTCGAAGCTAGTCACATCAACGTTGGCAGCAGAACACCTTTGCATGTCCAGATACAGGCCTCTCTGCAACTTGTCCAGATCCGTGTCTTTGTCAACTGTCTCACGTTAATAAAAGCGACGGGAAAACCAAACCCTTCTTCTCCCAGAAACTTCAAATTGGTGTCATTTTTTTTAATTTCTGGGTAAAATCTGCAGTTAAATTGTCCATTGTCTGCTGAAAACCTTCGACTTACGGTCTTCTTGCAAGATGATGGTTAGTTTTCTCGCTTTCTTTTACTAATCTGTCTAGGAGGCCCTGTGGTTTGCTTTCCGAGTCGGTCACCAACAGAGTATAATCTGCGTATCTTATATTGCTGAGATTACACTCACCGATACTAAATCCTGATAGGACTTCTAGTTCTCTTCGGATAACTTCGCTGAAGAAGCTGAATAAATATGGAAAGAAGACACATAGATTTTTCTTTTATTCAAATGTGTATTTTTCAGGAAACTTCTGTGTTTGCTTGATGTTGACATCTCTAGTTTAAGAAGAAAAAATGTTCACGTAAAAGTTACAGTTGGATATTTTCAACCATTTTGCAACCCGACTTTTGCAAGGGTTAAATAGCTATCGTGAATTCTTAACAAAACAAAAACAAGAAACCAGATTTAGCTAACCTTCAGCACTATTTATAAGAACAACTACGATTAAACTGTTCTATAAATAACAAAATCTTGTCTGCTAAAAAGGAAGACGTCTAGTTTAATATATACCCCCATTTTCCCCTGTGTCAGTCGTGCACTTTTAAAACCCGAATGGGATATAAATTACATTCTTCCGCTTTTTGTTCAGTCTCATCTTCAAATAAACCAGAGTTAGATTCCGGGCCTCGCCCTTGCTTTTTCTAAAAAATCTCCAGTGTGGTTTGAAAATATTTTGAAAAGTCCATTTAAAAGCATCCAACCCCGTAGAGTCGTCTGCAAATTGAATTCACATTTAGATTAACCCACTGGAGACGGACCCTCATTTGGAGTTGTAGTGCCAAGACGGAGCCCTTTTCATATGTCCTCACTTGGAACACAGACACAAAAAAATAAATAAATAAAAATAAAAACAAAATCGATGTAAAAATCACAGAACACGATAAACTATCACAGAAACTGTCATTGAAAGGCCTTGAGGTGCAAGAAATGCAAAAAGCAATCTGATTGGCTGGTACAAAGACCGGCTAGCTAATCTCGAAGCTTGTATTATCGGGCCGACGGATCGACCCAGTCTTCTTCGTCATTCGACTTTTCGGCCGATATATCAGATCTGTTATCTCCTCAGACTCAACAGAGTTAAAAGATTGGAACAGTGATATAGACTGTTCAACTGTCGAACTCTCTGTCTTTGGCAGAGAGGAACCCGGACGAGGCTTTTCCGAAGGGCAAAGTTTCGCCCGGGGAGGTAGACAGGCCCGGACCCGGATGCGTGTTCTACGGGAATATTTTTGGCCGATCCTCCGGGCTCGGAGAACCCACGGTAAACTCGGCCTTGTGCCACATAAATCCCTCGTGGGAGGGGACTGTTAAATATTAAGAGTTAAAGATTCATTTCTTTTTTCTATTCGATCAAATTCTGTAACCAATATCGGCGAGACACTTTTGCAATGATAATGATAATATTAGCCGTTTCGTTACAACGCAACATGTGGGTTTGGGGTTTATTTTCATTTACGGCATATCAACCTCAATGGGTTATTTAATGCCGACAAAATATTTAGAATAGATTCGTTTCTTTCTTTCTTTGCTTAGCGGCATGTCAACTCCTTATGGGTCATTTAACTCCTTCCCCGCTAATTATTTTTTATTTGTTTTTAATATAATAAATAAGAAACTGAGGTACCTTGAAGTACCCTAACGGTGGCTAATACCTCTACCAGATGTATGAGCTGAGAACTGGATTCGTTTCAAGTTCAGAAGGTCATAAAAAGAATCAAGATCAACGTATCGTATGTAGCTAGTTTTTTGAACGTTATGTTTAAGACGTGTTTATTCGTTCGTGTTGAAAAAATAAAATAAAAATGAATATAAAATATATATATATATATATATATATATATATATATATATATAAAATAAAAATAAAAGTTTCTCAAGTATATCCCTCTTCCAGTATTTATAGCCGGGAAGGGATTAAAACCGAAATATTCATTTTCTTGGTTAGCATTAGTAACATCAATTTTAAAATCATGTTGGTAGTCCTAAAATGTATTTCTATACATTTTAATCTTTTTTACAGTTTATCCAATTTATTTTTTAATTACTAAAAAATATTTTTTGTTTGATTCCATATTTTTGACTTGAAAATGCCATCTATACTTTCATAGTTTTTTATTATCCAGTTTGATTCCATTTAATCCCAACCAGAACCCCAGACTAGATGTTTATTACAATATTCCAAGCTGGATGAATTTATAGACATGGTGCTAAACTAGATTCTGGCAAGTTAGAATGTTACTAGTTTGATTCCATCTGAATCATCAGCAATTAACACTCTTCATTATGGTTTATTTTATTACTAGTTTGATTCCAATTGTTGCCCCAACACTTGGCTCTAATACCGGATTATAGTTTTTTATTACTAGTTTGATTCATCTTATTATTGTTGCTTTTTATCCAAAAAAAAGTTTAATTATTACTATTATTTTATTACCGTTTCAATTCCATCTTTCTTATTGTTTTTTTTATCCCAACAAATTTATTAAATTCTTCATTTTACTATTATTTTATTAAAAATTAGTTTGATTCCATCTTTTTTTTAAATTTTAAAAATTGGCTCTAAAATGTATATTTAGAATTTTAATCTAGTTTGATTCCATCTTATTATTGTTTTTTATTATCCCAACCCTCTTCTAAATTTTTATTTTATTACTAGTTTGATTGATCGATTATTGTTGCTTTTTATCCCAACATCCTTCAATTTCATTATTACTATTATTTTATTATTAGTTTTATTCCATCTTATTTTTATTGCTTTTTATCCCAACACTTGGCTCTATACACTCTTCATTATTACTATTATTTTATTACTAGTTTTATTCCATCTTATTATTGTTGCTTTTTCTATCCCAACACTCTGGCTCTATACATTCTTCATTATTACTATTATTTTTATTACTAGTTTTATTCCATCTTATTATTGTTGCTTTTTTATCCCAACACTTGGCTCTATACACTCTTCATTATTACTATTATTTTATTACTAGTTTGATTCCATCTTATTATTGTTGCTTTTTATCCCAACACTCTGGCTCTATACACTCTTCATTATTACTATTATTTTATTACTAGTTTGATTCCATCTTATTATTATTGCTTTTTTTTTTATCCCAACACTCTGGCTCTATACACTCTTCATTATTACTATTATTTTATTACTAGTTTTATTCCATCTTATTATTGTTGCTTTTTTTTTATCCCAACACTCTGGCTCTATACACTCTTCATTATTACTATTATTTTATTACTAGTTTGATTCCATCTTATTATTGTTGCTTTTTATCCCAACATTCTGGCTCTATACACTCTTCATTATTACTATTATTTTATTACTAGTTTGATTCCATCTTATTATTGTTGCTTTTTTTCCCAACCTCTGGCTCTATACACTCTTCATTATTACTATTATTTTATTACTAGTTTGATTCCATCTTATTATTGTTGCTTTTATCCCAACACTCTGGCTCTATACACTCTTCATTATTACTATTATTTTATTACTAGTTTGATTCCATCTTATTATTATTGCTTTTTATCCATCCCTCTGGCTCTGGGCTCATAATTATTATTATTTTTTTACTAGTTTGATTCCATCTTATTATTGTTGCTTTTTATCCCAACACTCTGGCTCTATACATACCTTCTTATTACTATTATTTTATTACTAGTTTGATTCCATCTTATTATTGTTGCTTTTTATCCCAACACTCTGGCTCTATACACTCTTCATTATTACTATTATTTTATTACCAGTTTCATTCCATCTCATTATTGTTGCTTTTTATCCCAACACTCTGGCTCTATACACTCTTCATTATTACTATTATTTTTTATTACTAGTTTGATTCCATCTTATTATTATTGCTTTTTATCCCAACACTCTGGCTCTATACACTCTTCATTATTACTATTATTTTTATTACTAGTTTGATTCCATCTTATTATTGTTGCTTTTTTATCCCAACACTCTGGCTCTATACACTCTTCATTATTACTATTATTTTATTACTAGTTTGATTCCATCTTATTATTGTTGCTTTTTATCCCAACACTCTGGCTCTATACACTCTTCATTATTACTATTATTTTATTACTAGTTTGATTCCATCTTATTATTGTTGCTTTTTATCCCAACCCTATGGCTCTATACACTCTTCATTATTACTATTATTTTATTACTAGTTTGATTCCATCTTATTGTTGTTGCTTTTTATCCCAACCCTCTGGCTCTATACACTCTTCATTATTACTATTATTTTATTACTAGTTTGATTCCATCTTATTATTATTGCTTTTTATCCCAACCCTCTGGCTCTATACACTCTTCATTATAACTATTATTTTATTACTAGTTTGATTCCATCTTATTATTATTGCTTTTTATCCCAACACTCTGGCTCTACACATTCTTCATTATTACTATTATTTTATTACTAGTTTGATTCCATCTCATTATTGTTGCTTTTTATCCCAACACTCTGGCTCTATACACTCTTCATTATTACTATTATTTTATTACTAGTTTTTTTTCCATCTTATTATTGTTGTTTTTTATCCCAACACTCTGGCTCTATACACTCTTCATTCATAGTACTATTTTATTACTTATTATCGTTGCTTTTTATGCCATGTGTCTGGGACACTATTCATTCTTTATAATCAAGTGATTCTTGTTTCATTATTTCTTGCATTATTTACCAACTTTCCTAATATACAAACCATAAGTTGCAACGATATCCCAAAGCACCATTTGTTTTCATTAAATGGAGAATTATGTGTATAGCCAAGGGCCCAAAAGAGATAAGTAGTCTTAATTATGTGGTTTTAAAGTCTGTCTGAAAAAAAGATTTAGCCATTACGTTGAATTTCGTATTGAATCAGCAGACGATATTCATCTCCTCAATAAGCAGACGATATTTACCGCTTCAAACCACCATTTTTTTTTCCTTAGAAAGTGGCAAGCCAAATTTTCACGACTAGCCAGGTTAACAAATTTAATAATATATTGCAATAACAATCATAAATATGAATGCTGGTCGTTATCTTTTAAGAAAAGATTTAAAATTGACAAATCTTTCCATTTCACTGAAAAAGAACGTTAAACACCTCTTGTTTGTTTAATATTGTCTTTTCTCCATTCTTTACACGCGATCAAACGGAATAGTCCATTATTTATGAGGTACTGGCAGGAAACGTTCCAGTCTTTCTCCCTTTCTTTCATTCATTTTCTGACTGAAACCAAGTAGCGTCCCCCCCTCTTTCCAAGTGATCAAGACGGAATAGTCAACTATTTATGAAATATTGACAGGAGACGTTCAGCACTTCTATCTTCCTTGTTTATCCCTTCTTTTATTTTCTCGCTGAAGCCTAAACTAGCAAAACGGAATAGTCCATTGTTTAGCAGGTATTGGCGGGGCGTAAGGGTCGTGCGAAATAAAGAAGGCAGAGACGGGCACACTTATAATAAGATATTAATAATTTAAAATGTATATTTGAAAACCTCACAGTAATGTGGCTGTAGCAATTCCCTATCGTACTAAAACACATTTGGTACTTAGAATATACTACAAAAATATTTCTTTTCAATGTTTAGCAAGAGGCAAATCAAATTTTAATTAGACATGTAATTTTCTGATTTTTTTTAAAAATAGTTTTATTAACCATAAACATGAAACTTACGTTTTAATCCAATGGGGTCTCAATTCATACCCAGTAAATAATGATAAAACTTGAGTTTTTTTTCTTATTTCTCTTTTATAAAGGGTGTCTCATTAAGACAGATTATATATAAGGGTGTTTCATTAAGACGGATCAAAGTCAGCAGTAAATAAATCAGTGTTATTGGTGAAAATTTATTTATTTCTCTATCGGATCATGTTATTTAAGTCATGGCAATTATGTGTGAAAAATAATATCGCCCAAATGTCCGCCAAATCTGAAAGAAAAAGGAAAAAATATCATTAGGCACTTAAACTTAATTCACATTTAAAATCGCTCCAAGTTATTGGAACACCCTTTATTAACTGTAATGAAAAAAGAAGCTCAGCCAACATATCTCCATGATGCGCATATTAAAGGTCAAAGAGCCGCAAATGGCTCGCGAGCCGCAGTTTGGCTACACATATATATACCATAGTTTAAGTTACTCAAAATTGAAAATATCTTTCAACTGTGAGTACTGTTCCGACATTAAAAACACTTTTCTTTCAAACAGCCTATACAGGTTTATATCCACGGGCCGTATATTAAAGGTCAAAGAACCGCATGTGGCGCGCGAGCCGCGGCAAGGCCACATCTTATATATGCTATAGTTTGAGTTACTCGAAATCGAAAAGATCTTTCAACCATGAGTATTGTCGCGACATTAAAACCACTTTTATATTTTAAACAGCCTATACAGGTTTATAGCCGCATATTATAGGTCAAAGAACCGCGTATGGCTCGCGAGCCGCGGTTTGGCCAAACTTGAATGACGTATTGCAACAAAGGGAAATAAATCACGCCTATATATCAGGAGGCAGAATGAAGAAAACCAGAGCTTGAAGCCATCTGCAAGTGGATCGTCGACGCCTACGAAGAGTTGAACGCCGCTATCATTGTCAAGAAATTTCCGCATCTCGAACAAGTTCAATGGCATCAAAGATGGTACTCTATACAAAGAATTCATATGGAAACGGCGGTCAGCAGTAGTACCACGAGAACTCGACGACGATGACGACGATGGTCTCGCCGACGACATCTACTACATAGATGTATAACCCAAACAGACAGGGAAAGAGACCGATCAATTCCAACGATGAAGACAGATTTGAAGATTTTGGGGAGAACGACTTCCCATTTCGGATGCCCAGAGGTACAAACAAACAACCTGAATAACTCACAGACAGTCCTTTTCAGGATTACAAACAATCCTTTATCAGGACTACACAAATATCTTCGAAAGAAATACGTCAGATTGTCACAAAAAAAAAAGTTAATTTCTAAGATGAGGTATTGTATTTACAATGTTCGGACGCATCTTTGTTGCTGTATTCACGACGTTTCGGCCGTTGTACGCTCCGGCCTTCTTCAGGTGATTGAAATTTCGAACTGAACCCTTTATTTCGTCGACAGGGGTAGAATTTTCTAGTTCCGCGCGCCATGCCTCTTCCGGATGGTTCAGTGGATAAAAGCGTCGGTTGAAGTAATCCAGTGAGTTGACGCAAAGAGTTGTGAGTTCAATACCCGGCCACAGCAGATGCGAACAAAAACTAGGAGAGTTGAGTTAAAGGGAGATAACTGAAATCTAAACTGAGACATCCGGAAGTGTCATGGCACGTGGAACTTGCTGTCGGATGTAGTCTATCGTGATGCAGTGATAAATAAATAAAACAAAAAAAAACTGTAAGATTTGGTCCACTTAAATTTGGGCAGGAACGATGAAAATGAATCATAATCTTACTTATTATAAAACGCAGATTGTGTGTGTGTGTGTCTGTACGTTTATATATTGGATCGGATTTCCTACGTTTTTCAACCGATTTCAACAAAACTTCACAGGACTGCGTAAAATTAGCTTGCGGTGGTTTTGACAGCGCCAAAAAATCGGAAAAGCACAATTGTTTTGGCACGAAATCAATTTGAAAACACGATAAAACACGATTCTGTTGCCAGAATGAAAGGGGGATAACTCATATCGAGTTATACTTATTACAAAACCCAGGTTGTTTGTGTGTGTTCGTTTATATATGGGATCGGATTTCCTACATTTATCAACCAATTTCAACAAAACTTCACTTTTTTTTTGGTAGGTAGTGTTTCTTGCACACTTTTTTTCTTTATTTTTACATTCAGAATGCTTTAAAAATTCCATTTACAAGACAATTGTTTATAATAAAATTCTATTCAATCGGTAGACTCATAACGATTGAAAACAATGTTTTTGTTTGAGTTTGGGTTTGACCAATTCGTAAAAAAAAAAAAAAAACAACAAAAAAAAAAAACTAATTAAGACATGCGTGTCCGTCAACCTTAAACAATAATCTTTGTCAATTTGATTTTTCAGTCTTTATGATGGTCGATACTTGATCTATCTCTTACTGTTACATCCCCGGCCAACGCCGGGCTCTCCTGCTAGTCGAAAATAAACCGACATTTTCTTTTGGGTTAATCTTATTTTTAATTCAAAATTTATGGTTTTGTTTATTGCTTTTTTTTTTTTTTTGTTTAACAAAATGAACTCATGTTTCATAATGTTTGTTTGTTCAGCTTTCTGAACAATAGCGCCTTTTTTGGCGCTAACAATGAAAACTTTTTTTTTTAAAGTTTAATATTCCCTTCCCTCGTTCTTTAAAATATTTAAATAGTGCAAATCCACCCACCCTGAATGGCGCTATTATCCGGAATGTGCATATAAGGGAAAGAAATGACGTAGACGTATTTATCAGAATCAGATCAGAGAGGGCCGTACAAATGTTTGAATGGCGTATGCCAGTGCTTCATAGACTACACAAAAGCTCCGACACAAAGATCTATTTGAAACTAGCCTAGAAGCTTGCCCTTTGGTAAGACTTTAGGCTAGTTCTTGAAGGATGGCTTTTGCGCCTTCGACCTTTTACCTTCAGCTTCCTATCTACGTAAAAGAAACAATAAAATTATTTTCTCTTTATCCGACACCTTAATTCGGCATAATCTTTCTTCGTATACCCAGGCGATTTCCGTAATTCGTTTACATTTATTTTGCGCGCAATTTTTATTTTCTTATGAAAATCACTATTCTTTATGATCCCGTCATATTGTATCAAGTCATTCTTGAAAGACTTTAGGGAACTCGAACTATGTCATATTTTAAATACGTCACAGCACGCATGCGAGAAAAAGAAAAAAAATGCCATATGAGCAACGTACCGTGCCCCGCTTATGTTTTAATTACAGTTTAATTAGACGATATCAATTGCAATTGTGACGAAAAGCGAAATTAAAGATAAACATGTAATAAAGAATTGTTTTTTCAGACCTTTCACTCTGTTCACTATTTAAATTTAAATTTAAATGAATTATTTATTTAATTTTCAATCACGTGTAACTACAGTAGTTACTACCTGTTACTTCAGGTTGATAATGATTCGACGAGATCGAAAATCGGACGGACGGACAGACACACGTACACTACGCTTCATTTATATAGAAGATATTTGTTAAATGGTTTAAATATGACTATTATTTCGTTGAATTATATAAGATGATTTCAGAAGCAAGATTCTATCCGATATGCATAGGGTTAATTGGATAGATAAAAGAACAGTAAATAAAAATCTTATATTATTAAAAAAAAAAAAAAATTAAATATATATATAGTTTTGTGTTTGGGCAGCAATATCTCTTTTATATAAGTTTAATTAAAGTCGACTGATTTATACGTAAAATAAAAAAAAACGATTAAAAATAATGGCAGCATTAATAATAAAAAAGAAAAGCAAGTAGTATTAATAAAATTAAGTTCTATCCAAGAAGCCGTCTTTTATCTATATCTTTATTTTGCGCGCGATTTTTATTTTCTTTTATAATCACCATTCTTTATGATCTCTTCACATAAAGTCACTCTTAAAAGATATTACGGAACTCGAACTATGTCATATTTTAAATACGTCACAGTACGCATGCGAGAAAATTAGACGATATCAATTGCAATTGCGACTAAAAGCGAAATTAAAGTTAAACCTTTAATTAATAATTTTTTAAAACCTTTCACCCTGTTCGATATTTAACTTTAAATGAGTTATTTGTTTAATTTTTAATCGCGTATAACTACAGTAGTTTATACTTGTTACTTCAGGTTGTTTGTGATTCACCGAGATCGAAAAACAGACGGAAGGACAGTCACACGTACACTGCTCTTTATTTATACAGACGTTACGAAAACTTCATCCAGAACTTATACTGGGAGTTAACCGCCTGAATACGGATAGAAAACTACTTTATTAGACACACAAAATTAGAAAGGGGTGTAAAAGCCGCTTCGTCTAACCGGATTTATTTAACCAATACAGCAAAGCAGTTTGAAGAGAACTAGAAGTTCTGCCGGGATTTAATATGGGTACAATCGTAGAAACACAAGATATGCAGATGACCCAATGCTGAGGGTCACTGAAATTAATTAACGAGTGCGAAAGAATGGATGGCTTAGCAAAGGTAAATAGAAATGGTAAAGGATTAAAAGTTACAAAAAACGGAAGTTGAGGAGAGCCATGATCTCCCACGCTCTGAAAGGAAATGATGCATAAACATTAAGAAAGTTTAACGTTTAAACGCCCTGCTAAACTTTTTAAAGTGACGAGCAGTGCTGGTTTCGTATAACAAGTCTATTGTTTAGGGATTACCATCAGCAGCACCAATCACTCTGAATCAAGCATAAGGACCTTTTCGACTACTTCCATGACCACTGTAACTGTGTCAGTCTACCTAGTATCATAAGATTTTTTCTGCTATTACTCTCACGCGCAGATATATATGACTGAATAATTAAAAAGTAAGAAATCTTTATAAATTTGACATGTTTCAGTATACATTTAACTTCACCGGAAACATAGATTTTAAAAATTGAAACAGACGTATTCCATTAGTAAGGATGAAGTTCCATTCAGACAGCTTCTTCCCAAGAACTGCTGCTTTGTGGAACAGACTCCGGCAGGATGTTTTCTCGATCACAACAATCATGACCTCTTCTCCAAATCCAGAGTTAACTTATAATTCCTGATCAGCTGTATGAACTTCATTCTAGGCCTTTTCTTACACTCATGCAACACAACACAGAAAACCTCTCTCTCTCTCTCTCTCTCTCTCTCTCTCTCTTTCTCTCTCTCTCTTTTTATATATATATATATATATATATATATATATATATATATATATATATATAAGTGCGCAGGTATGCAGAAAATAGAAAAAAACACGTTGGGTGCATAATCCAGAGTTCCTTAGTATTTTTGTTTTTTTTATTTTTAAGAAGACAGTGCTCTATACAGAAGTAGATCTTATATTATAATAATATTTTTTTTTGTTTAAAAATATGATTCCTTCGCTACATAAGAGTTCTCATGTTTCAAAAACGAGAGCCGAAACCATCCAAATAATTATTAAAATTAAGTTGAATTGATGTGTTTAGTCCCGTTTCATCTTCGAGCGAAATTTTAGGAATAAGCTATCTCTTGGTTTACGTGTGTTTTTAGGCATGGTCCGTTACAGAATTCGTTATTGTGGGAGTGGCTAGACTATTTTTCTTCGTTAAGTAGTCAGAGAGTTAATTCTTATCAATAGATTCATCATCTTCTGAGAGGTTTTGCTAAGGTTGGGTAGGGTATCTATTTCAAGGCTAATGTTTGCGGTCATCCTTTAGTTAGTTCCCAGTGAGGGATATTTTTATGGCGCGCCTACAAGTCGTTTTGTGTCGGGAGGATTGTGTTTTATTATTGTCCATCTGATTATCTATTTATTTATTTGTTTATTCAAGTGGGTGTTTTATATACAAACCGTATTGCACTGAATTTCAATTTGATTTTTTTTTGTTTTTTGACGACTGCAGAAAGGGTTTTTCCTATTTAAGGATTTGTCTAAGCTTTTAAGACTTTTATTTAGCTATGGGATTTTTTTTATGCTAAT